TGTCAGTCTGCTTCTGCTTCTATGTCGCCCCTGCAATGTATTCTTGACCATTTTCAGGATTTCAGATGATGAGCTGCTGACTACGGAGACATTGTCTCCCCCGAGACTCTCTGCACCTCTCACTTAAATTTGACTTGTCATAATTTGTTATGAATATACGGAGACAACAAACTTTTAAAACATTGTATTTACTAAGATTCTGGCAACAGCTCTATGCAACAAGATACAGCATAGCCGGCCTGCCGCTCAACTTGTTCGTAAGTCGGCTTCAGTATGCAGCTGTTGAAAACAAAAACGCAAAACCTGCTTCTTACATGCTAAATATCTTGGCAAAGTTGCCATTAGACATAGTCATGAACTTGAGACAGTACCAGTAGGAGTTAACAAAAGCTAAACATTGCAGCGTGACGACATTGCTACACACGCACAAAAACGGTAACTATCATTGGTTACATAAACATTTCCCGACTGGTTAAAACTTAACAGTATAAAACAGGCATTTTAGGATCTTTAGCTATTAAGTTCAAAAAGTACCCGTGTCTACATGAAACAATTCCTCTCCAAAGCCAAAGTACAGTAAAAAATTAACTCAAATGACATAACACTAAAGCTAAAGCTAAAAACATTCTAAAGCTACAAAACATTCAGTTTTTGTTGATGTGAAGGTATAAACTCAGAGCTTGGGGCTTTCTCACGCTGCAGGGGCTATTTCTCTGGTTCACTCAGAGCAGCAGATGGCGAAGTCCGTGGATGCCATTAGCTCAATAAAGGCAAAAGGGCTCGTACCCAGCTCTGACCGCCCCAGGAAGCATGGCTACTGTGTCCACGGAAGTAGGTGTGAGGACCAGAGGCACGCTATTCTGCTAGCTGAAGAGAGAGCAAGCCACCCCTCCCTCCACCGTAAGAGCTCCTTCCTGAGGTAAATAAAAAGCATACAGGGGGGAAAATAAGATACACTTACCTGTAGAGGAAGGATTTCAAAATATTAATGTAATCCCGCTTAAAAACATTTAACAGAGTCGTCTGGCCATTTCTGATTACATCTTAAGATGTTTCCAGATTCACTTCCTATTGATTTATCACTAGATGCTTCTAGTCAAAAATATTAGCTTTCTTCCCAAATATTTTAACCACGCGTGTGCCTGCAGTGTGTTATCTCCCAGGTTACCATGCAGTGGAGGAGCAAAAGGAGATGCTCAAGCAGTAGCAATTGCGGCCCTTTCACGCAGCGCTCTGGAGGGCCTACTGCACGGTACAGGAACGGTTCTAAAAACAAGAAAACTCATGCATGTTAATACATATATCGTAACTTCACAGCTGAAATGTCTTTAGACTCTGCACTGTCTTCATAGGCGAGTCCTGGTTTTGTTAATGTTATGGTGACTCAGGACGTGAACTAGCAGCCTTCTTTTTCTTCTTCTTACTCTGCTTCTTACGCTTTTTCTTTTTTCTGCTGCTTTTTCTCGTTCTCCACTGCTTTTCTTCTTTATTGCTCGCACCTCTTCAGTATGATCTGATTCTGACAAGGACCCAGATGAAGAAGGCTCACCTGCAGGATACATCTTTCTTTCTTTGGTCAGTCCTTTAACGTCCTTTTCTTTCTCGCTTACATCCTTTGACTTCTTTTTCTTTTTTCAACTGTCCTCACTGTCTGACTCAGTTTCTGACTGGCAACTTGCAGAAGATTTATATGAACAGTTCTTCTTTTACCTTCTCCTTTTTGCTTGCTTCTTTCTCCCATCCTCAGAACCTGAAGAACTGGTGGAAGAATCAGAGCCTGAAGAAGAAGAAGATGAATACCTACCAGAGTTCTTTTCTTTTTTTGGATGAGCTCTCATTTCCACTTAATAAGTTCTCTCTGTGCTTTTCTAGTTCTTTCTTCCAATTCTCATTCATTTTTTCTTCAAATTCAGCCAGAGCCTCAGAGCCTTTCTTTTTCTCTTCTAGTTGTTCTTTCACTTCTCCCCAGGTAGGCCTGGGTCGATTCAGATAATCCTGCATGGTCGGCCCTGAAGACTGGACTGGACCTCTTGATCTGGCCATTGCTGTTGGATTCACGTAGGCCACCCGATTGTCCCGTTTCCCCGTGGTGCCAGACAGAGCGCACAGTTAAGACTGTGAAGGCCAGACGAGGCTACGGAAGCAGCCGAAACAGGTACGTCGCAGATCCTTCTTCTCTTCCATTTTCTTGAAAGGGAACACTTAGAAGCCAGATGCCTGCCCTCTGGCGAGGAGCATGCAAGGCCCCTGCAAAGCTGCGGGAGGCTGCATGTCACCATGTGACCCCACTGTGCTCTTCCCTGGGGTAAAGATCCCGGCAGTGCATTTGAAGGTTCAGTTGACATGAGCTGGGGACTTAGTGACAGATGACCTTGGGGGTGTGGGGTTGAGGAGCACAGGCAAATGGAAAGAGAGGCCGGAGAGGGCTGGTCCTGGGGGAGATTCTGGCCCCCACTGTGTGGCCCGAGCTGGGGACTGTTGGGTCCCTGTGGGGCCCTGACTCAGGATAAGCAGAGAGCACCTGAGGACTCTGCCACCACCTCACTGCCACCCAGAGCCGCTCTCTGTTTCTGTTCTGGGAGAGCTCATTCAGTGGGCATGGGAGATGCGGGTGCGCGCCTGGGCCGTCACCTCATCACCCACTCTACTCCCTGTGGCCCAGGACCCATTTCTGGGTGGGGGCCCCTGGCCTTCTGGTTTTGTCCACATCTGCAGCTCCTCCCAGCCCAACTCCAGGTGACCTCAGGGTCACAGGCCGCAAAGTAGGTTTCTCCTAGAAGCATCTTCAGACATCTTCCCAGCCAGCCCGTTGCTCCTGGACTGGAGGCTTGGCCTGGGGACCGTGGGACATGTCCTTGCTGTGTGTTCTGCTGGTGCTCTGCCTTCCTGCCTGGTGAGGGGACAGCGGAAATAACATCCTCACAAAACCCGCCTCCCTGGGACCGGGGAGATGGCTCAGTAGAGTAAGCACTTGCCTGGCAAGCATGAGGGCCTTAGTTTAATCCCCGTTTCCACCAAAAACAAAACAAAACAAAACCCCCCACTTCCCAGCTAGTTCTGTGTACATGTAAAGAAGATATGGTCCATATTTTATTATTGTTATAATTATTTTGACACAGGGTCTTGTTATCTATTCCATGCTTGTCGTGAACTCTTGGTGATCCTCCTGCCTCAGCATCCCGAGTGCTAGGATTACAGGCATGTGCCACCACACCCTGCCTGGTATGAACACATTAAAGTGGTGTGGGAGAAGGGTATGTTCTAATATAGAAGAACACTTAGCACATGCAGTCAATGAAGAAAAGAGGCAGTGAAACAGCGTAGAAAGATGATCTACTTGCCTAAAAATAAGAAAGACAGATGCCCAAATTTCAACTGAGTGTATTTCTAGGTGGTGGAATTTTCAGTAATTTCTTTTCTTTCTTGTTTCTTTTTCTACAATTAACATGCTATCAGTTTATTAAGGGAGAGAGTCAGTGTTCTTTTGCCAAAAATGTTAACAGTTACTACACATTTTCTCAACCAAAGCCCAAAGACTTAGAAGCTAACAACACAAACGCAGCACAGCTGTGACATGCTCCCGCTCTGCCCTCTCATGGCGGCGAGAGCGCAGAGTGGCCTGGTCTGGGTGGTCCTCCGCTCGTTTCTCAGCAGTCTTGGTGAGGCCCTGCTTGTGCGGTGCCGTCCCCGCGGGAAGCTGGCTGGGGCAGGGCCAGCAGGACCTGAGGGCCCGCGTGCGCGGGTGCAGCGTGTCCTTCTCCTGTGTTGCGAGGCAAAGGAAAGATGACTGCTGTTATTTGGGCCTCCCTTCTTGTTATGGGTTGTGGAGTTGTGCCCACAAAGCCTCATGCAATTATGGGACAGACTTGTAGAGTTTGTGATTAAGCCCTGCTCCAGGGCTGGGACTCTGGGCGAGCGCTGCTGGGATTATGCCTCTCTCCTCTCCCTCTTTCTCCTTTCTTTCTTTGTTTCTCTGGTTTGTAGCCCAGGCTGGCCTCAAACTTTCGGCAGTCCTCCTTGAGTGCTCTTGAGTGCTGGGATAACAGGCACGTGCACCACGCCCGTCTGTGCCACCACTCTGTCTGAACGGAGCTCCTTTTTCCTGGAACGAGTACCTTCCTGACAGGCAAACTACCTTTATTCCTGCCTGGGTATTTGGCAGATGTGTTTTCAGAAATGCATGGCGTGAGCTTGTCATTTCAAGGAAGAACAGCTGCCAGTGTTTGCTGCCAGTGATACATTTTGAACTTTCACGTAAGGATCAGAGTCCAGGGGGCTCGAATCTGTCCCTGTGAGCTTCTCAGTCACCAACTTGCCCACTTCCTAAAGAGATGCTAGCAACTTATCCCATCTTGCAGAGTGAGACTCACCAGCATTTGGGGACCAGGCTCATTCAGGGACCCAGCTCTGACCAGGGAACCGGGGTGTGGTGGCTTTAAATCACACATGCCCTGGGCTCTGGAATCCCTGAACTCTGGGAGGCTGAGGCAGGAGGATCCCTGAATCCCTGAACTCTGGGAGACTGAGGCAGGAGGATTCCAAGTTCAAGTCTCACCTTTGCACCTTAATGAGACCCTATCTCAAAGTAAAATAATACTAAAAGTACCAAGGGGAGCATCTCCATGCGAAGGTCCTGGTTGAAGACCCCAGTACTGCGAAAGAAGGGGGAGGAGGAGTTGGAGGAGGAGGAGGGAAGTGAAGTCAGACCAGCAGAAGACCCACTCGAAGTACAAGGCAGCCAGTGTATCCAAATAAAAGTCTAACTGCTACTGCGCAAGTTGATGCAGAATGAAAGGAAAATAGCTGTGGTTAAGACTATTACGTACCCCCCTCCAGCTGTAGACCTGTGCGGTGCCTGATTTCCTCATCAGCATAAACCCAAACAATGTGTTGCAGCTAAAGCCAGACAGTAAAAGTCTTACAAAAATGGCATCCAACGCCAATCTAGTTTTTTTGGGAAAATACTGGCTTTACTTAATGAAACATGGTGTTTTCACAGAAGTTGTGCGGCGCAGACTGAGGCTGCTGCGACGTGTGAATGAATCGGTGAGAATGTCAAGCAGCACGGCTCACCACAGCGACGTCGGGAAGCAGCCGCGGCTTGCTGAGCGCGGGACTGTGCAAATCAGGCTCGGAGCAGGGTGCACCCCAGTCATCTGCAGAGGGAGGGTGGATCTAGAGACCGTGAGGGAGGGAGGGAAGCCTTGGGAGGTTGGGTGGTGCGTGGTCTCCCCCTTAGGAGAGGCCGCAAATATAAACACCTTAAAGAACAAAATGAGCCATGATAAGAAATGGGGGGTGTGGGCTGGTGAGATGGCTCAGTGGTCTAAAGCACCTACTTAGAACAAGCTTTAGCAAAA